GACGTGTTACTTGGCACGTCCGCACACGGTTTCTGTGCGCCTTCTACATTGTTACCGTACACTGTCATCGTCGTCCGCGGTACGTATAAGAATTATCGACCAAAACTGGTATCCGGTCGCACACGTAATACCTGTTATTATTGTTTACATGCACCGTTCGAGCGGACGGAGTTCGCGGCAGAGACGAGTCGCCAGATCCGAGCAGACCGTCACGTAAGCTTTTCCCGCCGTACAGGAATGATTCACGTGTATTTATTTATGACTAGCTTAATTACCCGGCTTCGCACGGAATATTCTTGGCCGTGACATAGGTTTTATTACTTTACACTATTTAAAGCCAAGTTCGGTATAACTATTGGTGGTTATAAAACAAATAAAATGAAAGTTCAAATGAATCAGTATAGTAATTTTGGTGATACCTCTGAATTACCGTATTTGCTGGTTCCAATATTTTTTTAAAATCCCTTCTTATTGCACGTTTTGTATATTAGAGAGACCACCATGTCAAATTTAAAGTTCATATAGTTTTGAGATGTAGCGATGATCAATAAGTGAGTTATACCTGACGTTGTACGTTGAGAAAATGTTGAGTGTTTAATTCTTTTTGGGTGTTACTGTTGAACCTATACCTTCTTATTTTGGATTATTATTTTTTTATTTATTCATTTTATTAAGAAAAGTCTGACAGTTCGAGGTTCCAAATAAATGCTATTTATTAAAGTGTATGTGGATTATACAATATTTTTTGTTTTTCCTTTTGTGGTGTGTACACAATTTGACACGAGAGTAGGTCACACACAGTTATCCATGTGAGAAGCATGAATTTTTAAAATTTTCAAAATTCCAATGGCTTATCTGTTGGAGTTATTGGGATGCTTGGTAATAGTACATGTTCACCTTTAAATTTTCCGTTTAATATTATGACTTCGATTATGTTGTTATACGGTTTAATAATTTACATAATTAAATTATTAAAATCAATATATTAAACAAATCAAATATTTTCTTGGTAACCAAAAATTGAAAAATGTATGCATCTAGTCCAAAACAGTGTCGACCCTTAAATATGTGATTTTCGAAAAATCCTTTCTTATTGCACGGTGAAAATATGAGAAGAACCTATATTCCAAATTTCAAGTCCGTACGTTGCTTAGTTTTTGAGATACAGCGATCAGTCAGTCAGTGGTATTTGGATTTTATATGTATAGATAATTGCAGCAAGGGATGAGCTCATTATTGTATTAATAATAATAATAATAATAATGTTTAACAAAACATGATTCTGAGGAATGAAAAAATTTAATTTATAAGGCATTTTAAGGCGATTGCAAAGTTAACGAATGTTAAGAAATTGTGGATCCTCGTCCTACAATATTTTTCGTTCTGCGGAGTAGGACTTTTACACTCGTAATTTCTAATGCATTTCATGCAATATAACGTTTTACCTAAAAGTTTACGACATAAACAATTTAGATTGATTTAAAATTTAAAGTTCTGTTTTCTATAAGTTCTGATGCATAAGATGTTAAGATGTATAAACGTGTGATCTGATTCAATACGTGACGAGACATTGGTTGTACAACATATTTATTTGCTTCAATTTATTGTTAAAAATCAATAAGAGTTAATTTTCATTAATTAAGTGCTATGAAACTATCCAGAGTTTTGATTATTTGAATTTGCATCTGTACATTTAAGCTGGATACATAATATGAGAGGAGGTGAATGATTACATTCATTATTATGTAATTTATTAACTATATTAACTAATTACTTAGTGTACGTACTCTATAAACACTAAAAAAACAACATAAAAATAATTTAATTTCTGTAAAAATATATTTGGTATTTACAATTTTAATAATTTCATATTTATGAATGAGACCCAAAATTATATTCGTGTAATTTTAAACTGAAAAATGGAAAATGGAAAATAAGGTCCAATAGTGTTGAAAGACATTTAAACTTAAGGAAGTCAATGATCAATAATTCAATAGTGGTTTATATTTAATTCTGTGTAGGGACCAACTAGCAGCTGGCCAATTCACATTTAATTTCAAATCGATTTATATACTGCGCGTTAACGTAGTACAATTGAATCGGGTCGGTTGAAAATTGAAAGGAAAGTAAAACAATTATTGGAGCTTTTAAAATTGATTAATAATGAATTACACTTGAACGGACATAACGCGTTATTCAAGTTATCTCGATATGTTTGTTTGTGTATATATTAATATTATGAAGAACAAATATATGTCATTACAGGGTCCGAGTAAAATAAAGACGTGATAAGCTTACACTCTATAAAATTAAAAATACCTGAGCTTAAAAAGTTTTCGTTTTGAGGATTAATACTGAAACTTAAGTGGATTTTAGTAAAATATTTAAATACGGTCGAGGTATAGACCGGGTGCATTATTCCGGCGTTTTTCCCAGTTTCGTCAGAAATTGTAATTTAAGGAAAATACAGGAGTTCATGTTTTTGTTCGTAGTCCAGTCACTCCTATTACACAGGATTTTGGACGAGTCAACCTTGATTTTCAAAATCAATAACAAATGATTTTAGCGACTAACCAACAGTGCATATTCTTGCAAATTAAAATTGTAATAATTTATTAATGCTAACAATATAATAATTTATGATTGAATGTCCTCGTAAAAATACTAATTTTTAGGAAACGCGAGGACTTCTTTTCTTCAAAATTAAATGAATGCAATCAACATGTCATATGCATTGAAAGGTCAGAAATTCGTTGTTGATAAGGTGTTAATTATTATATTTTTTGTAAAAACAAATATTTATTTTGAAAATTATCATCGTTCAAACGTTTTAAACGTTGTGCTAGCAAACAAATAGTATCTTTAATTCCTTATTACTTCTTCGCATATCTTGAATAGATAAAATTTAGAAATTAACACATAAGCAAAACATTTCATGCATTGACAAAAGAACTGACTTTTATTAGAAATTGTTAAATTTATGTTTATCGTCGTCTATTATCAATGTAATATTATAATTAGGGCCTGGAATTATATGCACTAAAAACGTACGAAATATGCATGCACTTATGCGATGGTTATCATTCAAATATGCACTCAAATTGTGTAAAAATATGCAAACAAAAATGCATGTTTATTATTTATTAAATTAATTTAATTTTAAAATGTATACAATTCATTAAATAATTAATAATCAACAAAAAATATACTTTAAAATATATCAACTATATAGTTACTATCGAGAGTTACTATCGTATTGGTACTTTTAGCAAACTTTATCTTATTATAACACAAAAATCAAATTATATAACTGCACGGATTCATGGAATTTATGATGAATATGCGCTAAGTAATAAATAATAATATTAATAACTTGGTAATATTTTTTTCTATACATGCATTATATTTCGAAAAATGCTAAAATATGCATAATAATTTGAAATGTTCCAAATATGGAAAAATATGCTAAATTTAATTTCGCATACCAAAACATTAGATTATGATTCAAATTTCTGTCTTACCTAGCTACTTTTTAGTTTAGTATATAAAAGTATGGAGTCTAGGATATCTTGGCGTAGCCACTTTGGCGTAAGATCACTTTGGCGTAAAGCCGTTTTGGTGCTTATGTATTTTTTTTTTTTCGAACATAGTGTATATAAATAATATTTAATATAACAATTTTATTTCTGACATGAGTTTCGTTATCAACATACTAATTGCGTACTAATTACAACAATTTGTTTTTGATATCGATAATGTATGGTCATAAATATTGTATCTATACTAATTAGTTTCGCCTAAACCTGATTCATCTAATCAGTTGTGACTGACAATGTCTCGAGTAAAGAGCAATCACGGGCGTGAAATATTCGTGCATGATGGTTATATTTACATATTAGACGAATATAACTATAATAAAACTAAAAAATTTTGGAGATGCCGATACAAAAATGATTGTTCTTGTTGCATTCATACATCGATTGAAACATCTGAAGTAAAAATAACACTTAGATTTTAGTATAATGTCATTCAATCATAACTTAAAATAATAATACAAATATTATAGGTATTAAAGATTCTAAATAATCACTCTCATGATTCTGAGGCATCTTTGCTTGAAGCAAATGAAGCGATTATTAAAATGAAACAACGAGCTAAAGACACTCTGGAACCAACGTCGAGGGTAATTAATGAATGTACTAGTAGAATTTCACAAGCAGCTAAGGTACATTATTTAACAATATTTATATTTATATTTAAGTTATCTATCGAATGCTGATATATAAAAGCTATTATTTTGATGATATAGAAACATTACTTATATTGTTATCGTTTTACGATCGTTTATTTAAAAGATTTTATGAGAATATGAATCCAACTTCTAGTGATAACTGATAAGTTAGACAAACTATAATATAGCAAAATTGTTAATAATATTATGTTGCCTATATCCATATTTTTAGGGAACATTACCAGCAGACGGAGCCTTAAAAAAACAAATCAGGAGAATATGGTATGAAATACAAGCAGTCCCGGATGCACCAAAAAACTTGATGACACTTATGATAGCTGAAGAATTTAAAACTTATTCACCATCAGAAGGTATTGTGGAGCAATTTTTACTATATGATAGTGGACCAGGTGAAAGTAGGATTTTAATATTTGGTCGTTATCGGAACTTAGAAATATTAGTTGAATCTACTTATTGGTATACAGATGGGATTTTTAAAGTGTCCCCACCACTTTTTTCTCAAATTTACGTAATATTAGTGAGCTATTTGAACGGTGTACATCCTTTACTTTATGCACTTTAACCTGACAAAAATGGTCAAACACACGAGGATATGTTACAAATAATAATAAACCTAAAACCCGAGTTAAAACCAATTTCAATAGCATGTGACTTCGAACAAGCGGCTATTAAAGCTTTTAAAAATTCCATTTCCTGGAGTTAAAATATTTGGCTGCCTATTTCATCTAAAAAAAACTTCAGGTTGAAAATGGTTGAGTTAGATTTAATATTCAAGTATAAAAATAATGCTGATTTTTCTATATCGGTAAAAATGGTTTTAGCATTGGCATTTGTTAAAATTGACGATTTAGACACAGCAATAAAGGCATTAAATGAACATGTATTTCCAGAGTTGTTGCCTCTTTTAGATTGGTTCGAGGAATACTATGTTGGTAGAACAATACGAAATCGGCGACGACCTGCTCGTTTTCCACCTGCATTGTGGAATGTTCATGAACGGATATTAAATAAAGAAGACAGAACAAATAATCACGCTGAAGCATCCAATAGACGACTGAATCTACAAATGGGTGTACAACATCCAACATTGTGGACATTTATTTCAAATTTAAGGAAGGTGCAATCAGGTCGTGATATATTTTATCAACAATTAGAAGCTGGAAATAGTCTTTCAAAAAAGAAAAAAAAATTTATTGATGTCGATAAAAGAATTTTTAAAATTGTAAAGGATTACAACAACCGCAACATAATTGTTTTTTAAGGGGTATAGCTCAAAATATAAGTTGTCACTAAATTACTTTGATACTATTATGTATACGTAATTTTATTTTTTATTTTTATGAAATTTTTTTTATTTTTTACTTAAGTTTAGTTTGGTGTGAAATATACCTACAACGAAACCGTTTCATACGGCCTAACGTCAAAACGGCCTTACGCCAAAAAAATTTACGCCAAAGTGGCCACGCCAAGACGGCCACGCCAAAACGTCCGGTTCCAAAAAATATGCAAATGCATACAATTCCCGGCCCTAATTATAATATATTTTCATACCAGCCTTTGTGTACTTGATGTACTTTTAGTTATTTTAAAATAATAAACAAGTTAAAGTCAATAAACACTTACCTAGATTATTGTACTAATTAATACATTATTCTTTGAACTTGACAACAATATTTTTTTATTCGTATTTTTATTATTTATTCTGCACAAAATATTTATTTTTTAAATGTATTTATTTTTAATTTAATTAATTTGCCAAGGTTGAGACTTATTATTTATAATCAATAAATAATTAATTTAATATCTTGAAACAAGGAAGTAAGACGTATTATTTTATCATTTTAGTTTTATACTAATTATTTATCTAGATATTACTTTTTATGTGTAATTTTTTTTTTTCTTTCAACCCGAATTTTGGTTTACAACTCCAATTTTCTATCCTATCTGATTACTCGCATTTTCTTTAAGTTCTTTAAAGGTTTTGACTTTTGCATTGCATTTAATTTGTCCTATATAAGAGTATTTTTTTTTTGTGTATCATTTAATAAATATTTTGAGTGCTTCAGGGACTCGGGGATTTTGCTGTGCATCACTTAGGTAACCATGACATTAATATTCATTGAAGAAAATAGGTAATTAAAATTAATATGATTGAAAAATTTACCATACGTTTTCGCTAATTTCGACGAATCCTTATGCCCTAATGAGTATTAACCAAATGATGGGATTAACAATATATATATATCTGTGGGCTTCATCAAGAATAACCCTATATAATAATAGTTTTTTGATTAATTTTTGGAAAACAATTAACAATCATTGCCATCATTATTTACTGTTTAAAAGACGCACTATACGACAACTGGTGAAAACTATTTGAATCTTCTTGAAGATAAATCCATTGATCGACGTGGAGCAGTTTTTTTTTTTCGTTAATTTTATATTAATAAATTGTAGAATATCGTGACGCGCTTAACGGCTTTACGGGTAAACCTATTGCCTATCCACCATTAATAACCATTCGCTAGTGTTTTTTCAGCACGATCGATTTTATTATGGTGTTAACGCTCAAATGAGATTCAGAAATAAAAATATGCAATTTAATTTTCACCTACATTTTTTTATTCTAAACAAATAAAACACTTTAAAATTGAGATACATTTCAAAAGCATCAAAAAATACAAAATGATTTATTCATATTAGGCCTGATTATTTTTTTTGTTTTTTATTTCCACAGTTTAATATACCCGTAAAATAATTGTTTTTGTCACAAATATATGATATTTGATTATTATATAGATTAATTATGATAATCTCTTCTTTTATAAAAATAATTTTAACTGTGCATATTTTAATCTTTATCTAAATAGATTTTCGGTATATTATCTTTATCGAGAAAAAAATTATTTATTTGGACTCAACACGGTTTACAACTCCAATTTTCCATCCTATCTGATTACTCTGTTACATATGCGAGTAGACGTAGTTCTTAATCATCTAGTACACTAAAAGTGTTTATTATGTATTTATTACACGAATATAATATAAAACTTTAACATAAATTAATATTCGATATACTTTTCTCAGCGATTAGATTAAATCTAGATTTTTCATAGCAATTTCTATTGCAATTGATTGGGGTGTGACAAGATGTGATCGCTTGTTCGTAATTGTTGGAACGTAGCAGGATTCGTATGTTGGCACGTCCTGTTTTTTCATTATATTTTTCGTTATATGTGTACGATCAGAATGTCCTAGAAGTATTTCAACGACAAACGTTTTTCCGTCTCACCCGCGTTTATTTATATAGAAGCAATTTCGGTGATGTTTCTGATTATATTCTGTCGAACGAGTATAAACACTTGCCCATTAATCTTGCCACGGCGATGGCAACACTTTTATTCTTTCTTTCTGTTTTGTTCATCTTACGGTGTACTTCGTTTTGATATATGATTTAAATTGTCGTCATTTCAAGTTCTAGAGTAAACAATGTACTTGACGTAACATTTAGATTGGCTATTATATAGGTCGGCTGGTACTTTATTGGATATTTTTATTGTTTTCAACAATGCATAAACCTCGCCGGAGATAGCATTACTAGCTGTAGTGTAATATTAAAGCGTGCTATGGTTAATAATTTTTTTGTAAGTCATTCCGAAAAGTCCTGCTCCTTCGGAAGTTTCGAACACATATTGTTAGCTTGAATGTAGCAGTACAAAAATGAAAATTTATTTAGACTTTGATATATTTTTTTACGGAAAATGCATTGGGCATAAGTTCCGGGTATTTTTTTTTCTGGTTATTCAAATGTTTGAATTCTTATGACGTAATCGTATTCAATGGTCATGTCCAATAAACCTATACATATAAAAGGGTTTGTTGACATATATATATATATATATATACTATAATGTACACTGGATTTAGTCTGAAATTACTCAATCGATATTCCGGTTATTTTGGTTGTTGATTGTTTAGTTTATTTTTGGATATTAAGAGGACGATGCTCTTTAGTCTGTTTCAGATACATATTCGATCCGATAAATTGTTTTAATGGTACAGTCTACTGCGTATGATCCAGAGACATGCGCACCTTATAGATATGAGATATTTAACCTTGTCCGTAGTGACTTTCTAACGTTATGGAAGCGCTTGTACTTATGATTAGTTTAGTGTACGATGTTAGTGGTGATATTATTGGTATTTTTATGTGACCTACGTATGAAATTATCTTCGGGTTATCAAATATAGTTATTATATATACTATAATATTAATCCATTATATTTATGCAACGATATTTTTACAATTGTTCTTATAATTATTTCTATTTTCGTGATAGACCACTTGGAAAAATTCAACATGATAATCCGTGCAATATGTAACTTGTGTTCAAATTAAAAAACATTTGAATTATGCTAATGCCACAAATTTGAAAAATAGAGTAAACTAACCTTCAATAATACGAGTATTTCCTTAATACGTGATACGCTTTAGTTACAATGAAATCAAATTAGATATTCAATATACCGTTAAATTAGAACAAAATAAAATTATTCCATATCTACTTAAATTGTTATCGCAAAACGTGAGTATTCAGAGAAAAATAAAAATTATTGTGATACTCGATATTAACTTTATTGTGGCAAGCGATTTTTATCTACGGTAATAAACTATTACGAATTGTATGTAAATCTTGTATGATGGAACTATTTCTATTCGTATTAATATGTACTCAATTATATTTTATCTATATTGTATAAAAAAATAATAAACAAGAATATAACTAAATTTAAAATTAATGTAAAGCATTCGATTATTTGATTATTTTTCCTGTGTAAGTAAAATTAAATGTGCAGGATTGTGTATTGTTTGATTGTAAATTAAAAATCATATAATATAATGTATGATATATACATATATATACGAGTGAGTGTGTGTGAGTGTGTGTGTGTGCGCGCGCGCGCGTTTGTGTGTGAGTTTACTATAAGATATTTAAATTACGTCACTCGCGTATGAATATTCATACATTCGTAAGTGATTTGAATTGTCTGTTTATATTTGGAATTAGGTCCCCAAGAAGGTGTGTGCGTGTGTTTGTCTATTAAATAATACCATTTCTTTATTCTTCGTCAAAAAAATAGTGTTGATGTGGTGGGGCCTACGCTCATTTATCACGCCTGGTCGCTGAAAACCAAATGAAAAATCATAGCAGTAGCTGAAGGCCTGCAGAAGTCTCCGAGAAAGCGACTGGGACGGTCTATAGAAAAATATTTCACCGCGATCTGACAATTGGAAACTCGAGGATTCGAAATTCCACGCGTATTATTGTTTAGGGTGAGTACAATGATTTTATTTCATACTATTTGGTCGCATTAAAGCCATTCTATTGAATATTATTTGTGTATCAATATTTCAACAACCGTTAATGTGAATTCGCGAGTATTTTTTTCTTTTTTCTACTGAAAACCGATTAATTCACGATGTAGTCAAATAATACTATCAAAAGTACAGAACGATATTCAAACGTGTACCGCGTCTTTGGGTCAACATTGACATTAAATTTACTTTGCACTTCTTCGGGAATATAATATCTTATTCAATATATTATTATTATTATTGCAGAGGAGTTGTGTGATATGGTTGTGTTCGGCATCGACGCATCGACAGATTCGTATACACCGTTTACCCGATGATGTTGCAATGTACTTTATTATTTTCGCTGCGTATTAATGTAATGTTTCTCGTATATCCCCCAAGTCGAAAGAGTGTATTCTGTAGAGTTTGATCAGTTATTTTGGGTATGACTTGTATTTTTGTTATAAAAAAAAAAAAGCGAACGTGTATTTATCGGATGCATGATCGAAACGTACTATTATTTCCTGAATTGTACAACTCAGTAATCGAAATCCATCGCGCAATATTTTTTTCATCTCTTCTCGACACACAAAATCGTAGCAGTAAATATATCGATTCGATGCATTTTAAGTGCTCGCGAAAACAAACAATTATAAGATTAAAAGTGGTAATGTTATTGATTTCATATTATCTCTGTTTTGATCTAACATTGCTTACAATGATGAATATTATCCTTTTTAATAAACATATGATACAATTTCTTTGTGATATTTTAATAAATGACTATGTATACGACGAATAATGCGATACTAATAGTATAATTATTTTTTTTGCCAACGATAAATTTCAAATTAAAATGTATGCGCTTATACGTGCTATACGTCCGAACGGGTCCTGACTAGTGTGGTTACTTTGTGTAGCATTATTGAAACATTGAAGAGATAATGGCAATATTTTGTGATACATTGGGGAGGATTGATATGTACTTTGAATCATATTTTCCAATAAATATTATTCATCCTCATATCGCGTCCACGGAACAAAATCATTCGAGATTTGGCATTGAGTTACAAGTGTTATTGCTATCAATAGGATGAAAAAAATTGTTCTTCAAAAACATTATATTTTCAAAAGTATAATACTGTAGTTTTCTGTGCTATGAATTTTATGTTGCTGTTAAATTTTTAATGCTTTTATGGAAGTAATACCGTCGTGTTTTAGATATCGATGAATTATATAATAATATGATAAATCATATTTTTATCATGTTTTAGGAATTAATCGCTATAATTTTATTTACGACGGTTTAGTTTTTTTTTTTTTGACCATCGACATTCAAATTGAAACTAAAATTGTCATATCTAGATTAATGGTTATTTTTCAAATTTTTATATATACTTTTTTTTTTTTATTAATCGCCATGATTCAAATAGTATTGTATTATGGTAAATTGGTTTATATTTATTTCTCTAATATCACATGGAATTAGTGAGAGCAGAGTTGATAGGCGATTTCAAATTAATAACTGGTATAATTTTTAATTATATTGACTGACTCAAATGCTAATAACACTAATACTGCATACAAATAAGGTATAAATACAATGATTACTATTGATACAAATTGAAAACTAATTGCTTGTATCAAATTTAAAAATTAAAATTCATAATTATAAAAATTACAAATTTACAACAAGTCGACAATACGTATCAAATTACACTAATAGTGTATTGTACTTAACAAACAACATTCGTTTTACTTTCTCAATCGAAATTAACAGCCATCCACGACCGAAATTAAAAAAAGTGTTTATACTCCTGTGGCCTCCAGACTATTTGTCCGTTATGCTTCGTTTGATCATTTACACCGTGTAGGTACGCGTGGAACATAATTACGAAAGGTGTAATTTTTATCGGTAAAATTCGTTTGTATTCTAATTCAATATTTGTGCTTTCGAAATATTATATATAGAAAATATTCTTTTTTTTTATTTCAATTTTTTTTTTAAACACTGGTCTGAAGTTTTCGTTCGAAAAACAAAATGTTCCGCATGTGTAATTACACTTTTATTAGGAACTACGTGCGACGCTGATGGTCACCATATTATGATATTCAGATATTTTAATGAATTTATTCTTTAGCGGTAGGTTGAATTATTTCAGTAGACATCTGTAGATCTGTAGGAATAATAGAAACCTAATGTTAATCGAACCATAAATGAGCACGTTAGGATGTTTTGATTTCAGATTAGTAACTAATACAGTCGGACTGTTAAAAACGAAATCACCGGAATAAGGTATTGCGCGAGGAGTATCCATACCTTTCGTTCACTATTAGAACACGGAAGATATTTGTTCAGGAAAAAAATATGTACCTAAATAGTTCATATGAACCGATAGATAAATTACAATTTTTATATATTTTACTTTTATCTCGCAATATTAGTAACCAACGAGAACAAATATGTAAACGAATTATGTAACCGTCGACTGTTTTCAACGTACGCTAAAAAATAATTTCATAAGTATTATGAATGGAACCATTTATTATATAATTAATATTTCATCTTAAAATATGCATATAGAACCATGGAACATATTTGTCATAACTTCATTGATTCGTATTGTATGTGAGTTATTTGAATGTTTATTTAAATATTTTTAACGTACAAGTTTACGATTGCATACCATGCATATTTTTATAACTCTTAGTGCAATCCGACACTATTCATATCATTGTTTAACATAAAAAATCTAATAAAAATATACCTATGTATTTTATAAAAATTAATTTCTGTTCGACGAGAACTGCAGGAATGAGATGGTCTTTCATTGGAACTGGTGTCTATATTTAAAATGAATAAGATCTCACGATACATCAAAAAAACTGCTCTTAATAACGCTCGGTTTGCTATTTTGAACGCATTGTATCAAATTTTAATATTGTTCATAATAAATGTATTTATAAGACTATCGGTATTTTGAATGTGGTAGGAATAGTCTTGTTTTAAAATCGAAAATTATTTTCATTGTAAATATTACAAAATTTAATGCAAACGTTTATTTTATAGAAATAATTCAACATTTTTAATTTTTTTTCTACGAAGAAAATAATTTGAGCATTGAAAAATTACATTTTACGCATCAGTATAGTTAAATCTAAACGGTAAATATTTTAGTGCAAAAGTTTTCATGAATTTTTACTGACTGAAAAAATCTTCTCAGACCGAAAAAACTATATCCGAAGAACGTTTTAAAGTTTTGATAAATAAGATTTTAGAATTAAATTTATAGAAAATATTTAATGTTATTAAACGTACAAATATCAACTTGCTTAATAATCTCGCGTTCATTGTGATGAAGACATGGATGGTAGAATGGAGTGTGAAACAAATAATATATTAATATGCATAAAATACAAACATACGCCCACATACTCACGCACAAGTATATTGCAATAATCGGTAATAATAAAAATCGTGCTAATTTTTTATTTTGCAATAATTATATACGCATCACATTTTTAGCTGATCTTTGAAACTGCATTAATGTGTTGCGATTTGCAAGTGATAACATATGTTCACATTTGCATGTTTTTCGTAGTTGTTGGTCGTCGGTTATATTAATATATCATTAAGTAATCGCAAATTACACAACGTTACGAATACGTAAACGAAATGTAATGAAAAATCTACGTTATTTATCAATGCTCGTGTGTGCATGAATTCCAATACTTGTAGTTATAATTTTAAGGAATGTCCTGGAACCATGAGTTTGTATTTTGAGGCATATTTCGATTTTTATTCATTAATTTACTTTCGCTAAATTGTTGATAAGTTTTTGGACGGGGTAGGGAGGTTTTTTTCGCAAACAATAAAAATAAAAAAATAAATAAAGAGTTCAAATTTTTTAGTGTGATATATTTTGAAATTTTGGTGTTTTATTACAAAACGGAATTGGTAAATATAACGGTTGAATACGAATCGAAAGCAATGATAAAATAATAAAGTATACTATTCGGAAAGCGAATGTCGTAATGATATTCGTATTGGATAAATTATTATCTTATCTTGGAATATTTTTAATTCGAATGTTTTTCTTCAAATAAAGGAATTTTAAATTCTCGAGTTACTATTATACATCTTGATTCAAGAAAATACGTAAGTAGCAAACAGTTGATCGGAAAATAGTGAACTATAATTTTTAAATTTGTCAATTGCTGCCGGAAAAGAAAATTAATTAAATATATATTTTAGTCAACTTTTTTATACTCAAAAATTCAGCGTAAACAATTTTCAATTATAATTAGAAATAATTAAATAAACTAACTACCATCCGATCCAAATCTTCTTGAGTTTTTATTAGTAATTTTGAATACTAAGGCTATTACTGTTATATTTTGTACTTGGCACCTGTAAGCCTTTAAGTATAAAATAAAAAGAAATATTAAAGAAGTATAAATCGAAATTGCTCGAAAGAGTTTATTGTTGAAAAAACTACTAACTGTATTATTGTTATTGCATTATTGAGCATTAAAATACAGACATAAATCCGAGGAAAAATCCTGAAAATTGAAAAGTTAAACAACGTATATTCCGCATTGAATTTCGTTCGTGTTCATATCAGATGTCTCAGTTGTAAAACACTGTTATAGAACAAATAAAATCGTATAGAACAGACGTGCTCAAACCGTTGGAAGTATTTTAACCGGCTCGTGTCCATTTTATAAAATTAGAAATTTCTAGATTTAAATAAAAATAATAATTTTAATTAATAAAAAATAAAAAAAAATGTGATTATAATAATCTTTTAAATAATACAAACCAAATCATATTTTACATTATTTAATTTTATCAAAAAAATAATATATATTATATTTGAAAATGTTTACTATATAAGTTAGTGTGAAATTGGGACTTGTTTTTTGTTAACCAGCCTTTCAACGTTTGCAGTAAAATTTGTAACGACTATTCTTAATAA